TGTTAAGGATGAACTTAATCATCATTTTGGTATTGTCTCCTCCTTTAGAAGCGGGAGACGGGCCCCTGCCTCCAGAGGTGCCAGCACAGGAGATTCAGGCGCCAACCCAGACTGGCCTCCTTCCATGGGCCTTCTGTGCAGGGAATGGGGCCGCATCCTCTTCTTTCAGGCTGGCCACTTGCTTAGAGGAGGCAGAGATGTCCTTGGAAGCAAGGAATACCCCATATCTTTTCCATAGTAAAGGTATCATGGCCTTGGTCACTGGGGAGGTTTTTATGCAGGCACTGGGACTTCAAATGCAGATCACACACTGGTCGTAATTCTGAATTCACTCAGAAAAAAAAAGACCCCTGGCTTTCCAACTCGCTTGTATCTCTGTCTTTGTGCCTTTGTCTAAATAACAGCTTGAATATCTCACAAGCTCTGGTGGAACAAGGAATGGCCTGTGTTCCTAAGGAACTTGGAAAATATTGGAGACATTACAATACTCTTGTAGGTTTATATATTTAACCATCACTTGGAATGTGCCTTCTTCCTTCCATACTTCTGGAATGTTACTCCATTTCCTGCAGTCCATTGCTAGTGGTCCATACTCCATTGAAGATGCTCCAAATGCTTCTACCTGTCATGCTTGTGAGTTTTTCAACAGCATGTACAGCTGCTGGAGATGAAGTGGTGTGTGACTCATGCCTGCTGTTTCCGGGAAGACATGTTTTTTCCATCTTCAGAGGAGCATTTCCTCACAGTGCCTGCTGAACAGTAATACTTGCCAGAGTCTTCAGGCTTCAGGCCACGTACTTGCAGGAACACCTGGCCCTTGGAGGTGTCCCTCGAGATGGTGAGTCGGGTTTTCAGACAGCTGTTATACAACAGATTCCCATTGGACCCAACACGTGCAGCCCATTCCAGTCCCTTTCCTTGGGGCTGACGGAGCCAGTCCACAGTGTTGCTTGAGGGGGATAACCCAGACACGGCACAGGTCAGCTGAAGGGTCTCTCCTGGCCTTTTCACTCCACCTCCAGACTCTGTGAGGGTGATCTGGGAATGAACGTCTGCAATCGTGGAGAAAGGACACAAAAACAGAAAGATACGAAAATGTAGAGGCAACTTCTGGAGGGTTCTCATACAGGGGAAACATGTTGTGTTTATCACAATCAATAATACTGCTTTAATTACCTGGAGGGAAGATTGCCAGAAGACTTATCAGGAGCTTCGGTGCCATGACCTGATCTGACTCCAAGAGCCTCCCAAACGCTCTGGAGGATCCCTGGTACTCCAAGCACGTTGAATTCTCTTGGCAGCACAAGTCACTTCTGCTTCATGAAGACTG